GAAGTAGTAGAAGCGCCTGATCCTCGTCTTCCACTGTCACCTCAATGTCTTTCAAGTCCGATATGATCCTATCGAATTTGTTGATGTACTCCCGGATTGACAAGCCCTCGTCCATCTTGCAAGTATACAATTTGGATTTTAAATAGATCCGGTTCGTTAGACTCTTCGTCATGAAGGTGCTTTCTAACTTCGACCACACGCCCGCAGCCGTTTCCTCTCCATCTACCAAGAAAGCTACATCCCTTTCAAGGCAAAGGATAATCGACGCCCGTGCTTCCAGATCCAGCTCCTCCCAATCCTCATCAGACATATTTTTGTGCTTCTCTCTTCCAGCCAAAGCTTTGTGCAATTTTTGCGAAATCAGCGAATTTTTCATCTGCATCCTCTAAGAAAAATCATTTTTCCCATTGAAATTTTCAATCTCGTATTTTCCAATTTTATTTGTTTTACTTGTAGAAGCCATTTTCCGCTTGTATTATGGCAATTCGCTTCTCTCAGGAATTTTTAACAATTTCTTTATGTTTTACCACACAATATTCAACAACCACCTCAGATCAGAAATTTTACCACCTCCAGACTGAATAAGGGCTCTGATACCAATTGTTGGGGCGGAGTCACGCCCGTCGCCGCGGAAGCGATATCACCTGAGAGAGAGAGCCCTGGTTTTCGTTGTCACAAAAGTACAAGTCAACCTCTAAATTCTTGTTTCTCAAAGGAAACGAGAATAGATAATGAAATTCTTATTTCTCAAAGGAAACAAGAATCGAAAGTGATATATTTCATCAAAGTAAAATATACACTCTTCCTCTCATCAGTTCAAGGACTGAAATCTCGAGGGAACCTACAAGCTATGGCAACTCACAGATAAGACAAATACAAACACGAGATTTTTACGTGGTTCGGCAAACTAGCCTACGTCCACGGGAGGGGATTTCACTATGGAGAAAAAATACCAAACTTATACAAGTTCTCTCTTCCTCTCTTTCTTTTCTCTCAAAAATACTCAACTTGAGATTTTTCTCACACCAACTCAACTCACAACCAACTCTATTTATAGAAAATGAAGGGGGAGGGAACTCAGGTAATTGGCGGGCACACAAGGCGGGAAACGAAGAAAGCGCGCGCGGGTAAAAAAATCGCGGGAAGCGGCGCGCGTGGGCAAGCACGGACGAAACACGCGGGCGCTGGGCTCGAAGCGGGAGCGGGCGTGAGCTGGGGCTGTCCATGACAGCGACGTGGGCTGCTTGCTTGCGCGCGCACGACAACGGAAGGGGAGTGGCGCCATCACGAGGCCACGAGCGTGGGCCCCCCTCCTCGTTC